CGCAGTCTGACTAGTTATGTAAAAATGTCCTTAAAAAACATTCACTATAAAATATATTTGCACTTAAAAATATACTGTAAATATATTTTTTTCAACTTAGGCGTGGAAAATGTGATAAGAATATCAGGTGAAAATTGAGAGGTGGACAATGGCAGAGGGGGCATTGAATCATAAAATTCTAGGAAATGTAGATAAATATTACTATCTTTGAATATAAATGACAATTTAAATAAGCAACATTTAAGTCGTGATAAAATAGTTATAACTATTTCTAGATCCCAGCCAACCCAGCTAGTCGATTTATTTTCTTAATCGATTTTAGTTTACAGTTTTATTCATTCATGTACCTCTCCAAGTCTGAGCCTATGTCTTCTAGACTAGAACGATGGTTAGAACACGCTTAGTAAAATGTAAAATTATATTACATGTTTGTTTACATGGTATTTCAACATAAATCCTTAATTTTAATTATGTCATTTAAGATTTATAAAAACTTTTTTTTTTTTTTTTTATCCTCGCTCGTTGCCGATAGGTCTAATTTTACAAAACAAACACTCGTTATTTATAGTGTTTACTTTATTTAGAACTTTTGAGGAGAGGTGAACCATCCATTCTCTTCAGCATATAGAATAACATAATAATGATTTCATACCACGTATTCAGAATAAACTTTAGTTCTTCCTTTATGTTTAATCTTTTTGCTAGTTTCCTCAATCATGTTTTTTTTTTCTTTTATGGCCCGAAACATCCATTGAAATCCTCTACTGCACCTATCGTTGTATTATCAAATACTGAAGCTACGGATGTTCTTTTCTGGTAGATATGCTTATGTTTTGCAGCTTAAAATGATGGCTCAATCATTTTAGTCCGTGGTATAGACCCCTTTTTATCGAATTATTAACACCCACCCGAACCATCGTAAACAGCTTCATCTGATCGTAACCTGCAAATATTTTATTTTCGAAAGTTTTCGGGGATGGGGTGTTTTGAATCTGGAGGTCGGAAAACTTGGTCTATTTAATTATAAACTAAAAACTCGTAAATACCCATTTGCTTTCCACTTGGATCGTAAGATAACTTGAACACACAATAGATAAAAAATGTAGTCTATAAGAATATTGGGCCGTTTGATCTATATAACCTCGTTATTTTGACAATTTTGGAGTACAGGTCACGCCAAACGGCTCAATATTTTTGAAGGCCACCTTTTTTCCCGACTTTGTGCTCAAGATATCTTACGATTCAAGTGGAAAGTAAATGTTTTCTTACGAGTTTTTAATACCTAATTAAATAGACAAAGTTTGTCGACCTCCAGATTGAAAACGCCCCAATTCCGAGAATTTTTGTAAATAAAGTAATTGCAGGTTACGATGAGACGAAGCTATTTACGAAGTTTCAGGCGGATGTTAATAATTTGATAAAAAGGGGTCTGTACCACGGACTATTAAGCGGAGATACAACGTATCGACAAAAAAAGTTTTGAAAGATAATATTATTAATTACTGTGCTACTTTTTCATGTATGGCGTTCTATCCTCCTTCTCCTCCTCCATTGAGCACTTTTATCATGTTACACTAACCTTCGCCCCCCCCTTCAATATTTCCTCAGAGCCCGCAACAATGGTAAAGGGGATATCTTATCTCTAACAAGTGTATTTAACAGCTTATAATAAAATTATAGTCAACTGTAACAGAGCCCTTTTTAAAAAATTATTAATACCCGTCTAAAACTTCATATATGGCTCCATCTTATTGTATTGTACAACTTTTTCACTAACGAAAATTCCTCAAAAACGGGAGTTTTCATTCTGGAGATGGGTAAATTTTCTCTATTTAATGGGGTACTAAGGGTTGGCTAGAGCGATGCCATAGGGCGAATGGAACGACTGCCCAAATTGGATCTCGCTCCATCCTAAAATATTTCTCGGACCGTTACTGTCCATTTGCTTTCCACTTGAATCGTAAAATAATTCGACGAGAAAGAAGGTGGTCTACAAAAATATTGTGCCGTCAGGCCTATATAACCTCGTTATTCAGACATATTGGGGGAGGATGTCACCCAAGACGAGTCAATATTTTTGTAGAACATATCTGTTCTCGAATTATCTTATAACTCACGTGGAAAGTAAATGAGTATTCGTGAGATTTTAGTACTTCGTCAAATTAATTAATTTGATAGGAAAACGCCAAGTTTCTGAGAATTTTCGTTGATAATAAAAATTTTAGGTTACGATTAGTGTTACCCAAAATCGGTCTTGATCTTGCTCTTTGCACTTGACCAAGACCAAGGCCTCCTAACTGTTACAAGACCAAGACCAGGACTGGTAAAAAAAATCGATTTTTAAAAATAAAAATTAAGGCAAAATAGTTACTAATACTTGACAATCTTAGTTACTATATGTTAATAATTGGTATAACCAATATACTTTTGCATTTAACTCCTCTAATTTTTCATTCGGGCTTAGTTAGGTTTCTCCTATCTAAAAAATTACAGTAATATTTCTATAGTAATAAGCTAATAAGTAACTGCAAGACTGTTGCGAGAGTCTTGCGCAAGACCAAGACCATGACCAATACTGAGTTTGCAAGACCAAGACTCGTCTCGGTCTCGCTTTTGGGCAACACTAGTTACGATATGATAAATGTTGTTAATTTGATAAATAGTGGTCTGTACCGCGGACAATTATTCAAAACAATAGGGATATGGGAAAAAAAATGCGCCTTCCAATTCTGCCAATCAGCAACAGACGTCTATACCAACGAACGACTGGGTCATTTGACGCTTTCGAACGCTAAGATAACGCGATTTAAGGGGATCTATTTAATTGTGGGCCGTGACTAACCGCTACAAGCCGGGCCTTTGAGACGCCGCGTAAGTCCATTAAATCAAATTGATGTTATATCGAGCGTGCTCCTGGGGCTGACCTTGTTAGACGAAGACTACGCTTCAACTGCCTTCAACCTGCTTCGTCACGACGGCCCCCCTCCAACATCACGGTCGTAATTTTATAACTCAATTGTTCCAAGTTTCTAATATTTTTATTTCGAATTGAAACGATCATCGTCAATATTCATTTTTTTTTTTTATAACGATTCGAAGTATTTCCGGGGCGATCAGTAATGTTTATTTAATCAGTAAAAGCACTGAGAAAAAAATTCAATTCCTTCTCAAGAGCACCATTAAAAAGAAAGTTAATTTACTATATAAAAAATTATTTACCTACCTCCACATTGCTTTCTCGGTTAATCAATTTGTTCCATGTTTTCTAGTATTTTTATTTCGAGTTGAAACGACCATTGTAGTTATTCCTATTTTTTTTAATATATATATTTACCTACCTCCACAGTTTTTTGGGAGGAAACAATGTTGATATTCGTATTTCGTACCTCGAAAAATCCTTAAATACGGTTTTTTTTATAGGAATCGAAAAATTAAAACTTTTGACTAGGCTTCGAAATTTTGTTGACAAACACAAATATCGTGATAACATCAGGACCACTAACGGATCCAGGATTTAATTTCGGGGGAGGGGGGCTTCAACCCGTAAGATTTTTTTTGTATAAATATATTAGGATAATGACTTCGGAAGAAAGAAAGAAACTAATTGCCTATATGAAATGGTCTTTAAGTGATTCTTTAAATCATATTAAATGTTATTAGAGGAACAATAATACTTTTAAAAATTATTTTTTTCATAAAACATGGTTATATTTTACCATTTGGGGGGAGGGGTTTTAGCCCGAAAGCCCACCCTTGTAGATCAGCCCGTGATCAGGACTACTTCACCGATTTATACGAAAATTATTAAGGATTTAGGGGTCTGTATGCTACACGAATCCCTCCCCCGTAAATAGATTAAAACCGAAGATATAAAATAAAAATGTTCGGGAAGTATATCCCGATTTCTAGTTTAAAAGGCTTTAAAACCTAAAAAATAAAAAAAATGGATTGGAAGAGCAGTAATTCAGCTTTCCAACGACTGTATTAATTAACGTTGGATTTCGAGAAAATCTTGAAAAGTTATAGTACATATATATATATATATATATATATATATATATATATATATATATATATATATATATACATATATATATATAGTTATCAGCTGAAAAAAAATATCCATCAAGAAAATCGAGTAGTAAAATTTGCAATTTTGATTTCTTTAAAAATTGATATTTAAGAGTTTAAAAAAAAAAACTTTTCGTAATAAAAATTTACTTCGTCTAATTTACGAGAAGCACCAATTAATTTTTTTAAATTAATAATAAATTATAACTCATTTAATACCATAGTCAATATTTATTTCCTATTTTGGGCAAAAAAAAAGAAATGGATCGGCAAATGATAACCCGGAAACCCAAGCAAACCGAAAGCAAAAATATTTTTGTATACATTCTGTTTTAAATTATAAAAAAAAAAATTCTGAATCATATAGCAGACTCATTAATCAAGAGTTCTATTTAAAAGTCATAACAAAAGAGAGTTACGGAGGACCATTGTAATATTTACCAAATGTTAAAAATAATCTATAGAATCGAATAAGCGAAGGTAAACATTAATATATATGGCGATGAAGGATTCCCAAAGAGTCTAAAATAACAGTTTCAGCCATGGTCTGCATTTGCTTCCTCCTAACATAGATCTTCTACAAGAACTGACTTGTAGTAAGAGGATGGTTACCACCCCTGCTTTCTAACCACAGCCCGTTAAATGAGAATTTTCTCTCGCCAAATTCAAAAGAAAAAAGAAATTACTAATTAATCGAAATAGTCATCTTTATGCTAATTGTAAGTCTCTCCAAATAGAAAATCGTTCATGATGGGAGCTCAAGTAATAAATAAATCATTAGAAATAGGAAGAGGAATCCTTCTTATAAATCTCTCCAATATTAGATGTCGTTTCTGGTAGTTCGATTTATTTCAACTTCTGTATTTGATTTATATATTTAAAGTAATCTGTTTTATTTTTCTTATTAAACATAACGATATACACACAAAATGCCAAGTAACCACCAAACACTCGATCTTAGACTTTTTTTAAGTTGCTGTAGGTTTGTAATGTGGTGGAATATTGTTCCAGTGAAGTTGAATGAAATCTATGATTGTCACGTTAACAGGTTATGTTCATTTTCTAGGTACTACGAGACTGGATCCATCCGTCCGAGGGCCATCGGCGGTTCCAAACCACGAGTGGCCACTGCAGAAGTCGTCAACAGGATATCTCAGTACAAGAGGGAGTGCCCGTCCATCTTCGCATGGGAGATCCGAGACAGGCTTCTTGCCGAAGGTGTATGCTCAAACGACAACATCCCCAGCGTGAGTACACTTTACCCTTTTATAGTTTCAGACAAATAGATAATTTATTTATATATTAGCTCAAATTTAATATAACATGACAAGCGTGAGAAATCCTCAATTATTCAATATCTGGACACGGTTAGACATTGCTGAATGTTTCCAAAAATAGTAAAATTTTCAACTTCTGCCATGGTAAAATTTTCAGTAATTTGTTTATCACCCATTCCTAAAATCTTATTCGCCTACTTTAATAAAATAATTACCACAGTAATACTCACCGGCTAGATGCCTCAGTAGTAGAATGTAATTTCCAACTTCGAGGAGAATTGTAAGGGTGTGTAGAGCTTGATAGAGATTGTGCTCGAAGATTTGGAAGATTATTAAGATTCCGGTGAAATTTTCAGAATCCGTCAGAGATAAGGTAAAGAACAAATAGAACATCAAGGTCATAATGTAGGGTTTGGTTTGTTACATATAATGGTGCATTGACTATTGTTCGAAGGATTTTGAACAGGATTGGGGTTTGTTTGATGTTACAAAATTATTCACTCTCCCTCAATAACTAAAAAGTAATGATTTATTAACGTGTATATGTATACAACATGAAATAATACAATTTATTTTTTACTTGATATGTTTTCAGGCATGAATCATATTAAATTTATATTTAGTTGGCTATGTTTTTTAAACTGAAAATTAAAAACAATCAACTTGATTATATATAAAAACGATGAATTAATACTTTGAATTTTAAATATTAGGATGTCCCATAAGGTTCTTCCTATTTTTTCTCTTAACTTCTTTACTTCCATCTCCCAGGAACTCTTTCCAAAATCGTGGATACTAACTTGCAAAATATTCAGCTAAGTGAGTTTTCATTTCGCTTTCGGATTTATGACATTTATTAAAGTATTTTTTAACGAAATAAATAATTTAATAATTGTGGGTAAATGGTTGACTGTCGTGAATCATGAAGAGAAGAATAGAAGAGAAGAGAGAATAAAGAGAAGAAGGCAAAAATAAATAATAATATTTATTTTGACATTTGCCGAAGTTTCCACCTGAAGTTCAGGCCTTCATCAGGGCTAGGAAAAGAACCAGATAAAAAGGTATGAGAAACATGAGTAATGTAGGTAAAAAAAAATTAAAGTAAAATGAAGTTGGTAGAATAATGACAATAGTAAGAACTACGATAATAAATAATAATGCCGCAAGTTGCCGTGGCCGTAAGACAGATACAGTTTGATTGAGGCATTCTACCTTATCCTCTGCACTCACCAGACTTGCTCCATCCGTTTATTACTTGTTTCTTTCGTTAAAAAATTCTCTCCTTTTTTATTTTTTTTTTTTATTATTTTTTTTTATGACACCTCAAAAACAAATCTGTTCCGTGCTCAAAATTGTCTAAATACATAACTGGAACCATCTTAATATTTGTGAAATTTATATATATTATTGAAGAGAAGAATAGTTGGGGTGGTCAGTCAAAGAAGAAGGCAAAAATAAATATTATCATTTATTTTTGCCTTATTTTTTGACTGACCGCCCCATCTATTCTTCTCTTCATTATACACGACAGTCAACCATTTACCAATTATGTATATATATTATTAGTTGGTTTTGAAAACATTTTTTTAACGAGCGTTGCGGTTTCTATGTAGTAGGTTGAAGGGGTCAGTAATGTTTATTTTTCCTATATCGAGGGGAGGAGCGATGTCCAAGGACGTCCTTGGACAATGTTTGCTCAGCCGATTTCGGATTCTGGTTGACGTAGAAGCTGATGCCGACTATTATCCTATAATAACTGAGAGCGAAGAGGATGTTTGGCCGAGAATGGCAATATTTGCCCAGTGCCCCTCACCAGTGCCCCTTACCAGTGGACCGTTAAAAAGTCCAATTTCTTCGGGCTGGTGAGCAGGCAGCTTCAGCCCTTATTGGGAATATGCACGCTGCCATGGCAACATCCGAGGTCCACGCTTCTTTAATTACCCATTGGAATAGCAAAAAGTGCTTACACCTCTTCGCATAATCGTTCTCATTCCATTATTTCTTTCCTTTTTTCGGTGATTATCGCTTCTCCCCTCCTCATCGTTTATTTATGCAGACTTAACGATCGTATTTAGCGCGGAAGAAAGCATTTTATAAGGTACTTTTATACTAAATACGAGGCAAATTGGTTCAGACGATGCAAGGAAAACACGAGGATGGCAAAACAAAACCAGGAAGAACATAAAAATCGATGGTTTATGAATTATAAAATTAGTGCCTCCTGAATTCAATAGAATTTCTAAGGAGATAGCTGATTTATAATATTATAAGCCATTGCTTATAATTACTAAAACAGAATTTTGGAATATTTAACTCGTTGATTTGACTATTAATAATTTGAAAGACAAATATAAAATAGCCTTTCTACTAGCAAATCAGAAAGTATAAAAAATAATACATTATGTATATTTAGGAAAGTATATGGCTAAGTGAAAATAATATTCAGTTCATAAAAATTTAAAGTACATATCTACAACTGGTCTCTCGTAAACCAATTTAAATAAGGAAAATTTATTATCTTTTGTTACATGGAGAGAAACTACAGGCACAAAAGACAATGTTTCTTGGGCAAAATTAAATATTAAATTGACCAGTGATACCCAATCTTCTCCTATAAAATATATACAGCAAAAATATTATTTTAATATTTATATTAAATTTTATATTTTATATTTTATATATAACTATTTGATATATGTGATATTTTTTTTAAATAAATAAGATAAAAAATAAAACCTGTAGTTCGGGTCTAGGCAGCGACAAGCAGCTGTGAATATTCGATTGCGTTTAAAAATGTAAAATAAACGTGATTGTGATCTGGAATTTCATTTTTCATGTTGCGTTTTAATTTCTTTTTTATCTCCTTAAACATTATTTTAATTTCGATGTAGTAATATTATAAATTAAACAACATTAATGATTTAGTATATATATATACTAGTAGGCCCGTGCGAAAAATTCGCACAGCATATTGTTATCAAACGCAAATTAATAAAAAAATAAAATAATGAAACGTATCAAAAGATAAAGTAATCCATTGTTACTTTATCGATAAATATAATCGACAAAGGAAACAAAATTAATTTAAATCTTCATTTTTGTTTGGAACCAACATATTTACAAATTTCAATAAGCTATATCTTTCCGAAAATTGTCCTTTTTCAATGATTTTTTTTCCCTTTTGTAGACAATTTAGTAATGTTTTATATAATCATGGGAATAACCCAGGGAAAAGTGTGTAATTTTTTAGTTATTCGCAAATAAAGTTTCATTTCTTTCATAACTTTTTTGTCTGAATTTTGGGGGTGATTGGACTATTTTGCCCACCTGAAGGAGAAGGAAGCCTTCGAAATTTGTGGCTCAATCTTGAGATTTGGTGAAGAATTAACGATGATATGGCTTGCCGATCAAAAACACCATCGATAAATAATATAAACTCCTCCTGTCTCGATCCTAGAGACCTCAAGTCGACGAAATGAGACATGTATCCAATGACAGTACTACAATTAACGTAAGGTTGTGTGGATGCGAACCCCATGCCTTGCGTTATCTCGAAAATAGTACGTTTTTGGGCTTAAAAACGCAGGTTCCGATAGTTCCGCAGGAACTATCCGGGTCTTGCTGTACGCATCAAAATCTTCAAGGTCCAATTTGTCCCGCATCGATCTACAGACCTACCACCGTTCCAGTATTGAAGCCTAGCAAAATGTTTCTATCGACTTTATTTATTTTAGAAAGAAAAACAAAAGTGGAGGATACGATTCGCTAACCCCCCGTGAAATTCTGAATCCAACGGTACCCCATTCATGGTATTTGAGCATGACAGGAGCTTATATTTGGTACAAAACCGATTTCGAGCCTTACTGTAATAATATATGTGGGGATATATATATATATATACATATTGCGTGCACACAAAGTGGAAAAGATAGATAAATATGAGTTAAAGTGCTATCCAAGTATAATAAGAGTTTTGGTGAAATAAGGCAGAGGCGCAGTGTTTGGGAAGTCCCCAAGCCCCCGACACTTAGCGGGGCTCCCTCTTCGGAAATGGCTTTTTTATAACTGCTCCTCAGCCGCACCCTCTCCATCCATCATTTAATCAACTATATAAAATGCTAACGCCGCTAGGCTCAGTTATAAGGAAGGAAGTGATTTACATTTAGATCAGATTTCTTCCAAGTCCCTCCTAACATGTGGGCGTTGTTGGACAACACGAGGTCAACAGTAGCTGAGTCGATATCTATCCTTGTAATAGTGGCCCTGGAGCCAGGGCCCAAAAATCGACCTGATCGCAGACGAAGGTTTTATTGTAAATTATGAAAGTATATGTTATTCTGAGTGAAAAGAACCTTTTCTGCCATTCCAGTGCCGCTGCTTTCAAAAATGGCGACTGGTTTAAAGAATATTAGGCCAATAATTTGAGGATCGAAACAGGAAATTCATTGAGAAAAATGTGACTAAAGTATTAATTTTTTTAACTTTTATATATGGGTTTAGACATATAAAAAACTGAATTGCTAAAGCGGGCCACCAAGGGCAAACTTATTCAGCCAAAAAAGTCAGCTTTTTTCGATATTTTTTGTTTTTTTTCGCCTATAACTCCTAAACGATGCAACAAAGCGATAAATGTCTTTTTTAATAAATTAAAGAACGTTAAATTATGCGTCAAACGAGTACATAAACTTTATGATTTGGTTACGCAGTAAGGTATAAAACCACGGTTAACCAACCCTGCTTTTTACCAAATTTGTCAAAAACTGAGACAAATTACTATAATTGGTCCAGTAACTTGGAAACGAGTTCCCTAATAGGAAAACCCCATAGAATCAAAGTTGTAGAGCATCAAATTTTGCGTTCGCTGAGTACTGACATTTTTATCGTAGGCCAATTATATATCTCGAATAGGATTCGTTATTCCGTTATAAAATTCGGTATCTTTCGATTCATCATATATTATATATTTTTATTTTTATTCAAATTTTTTAGGCATTGAGATGAACTCGCAA